GCAAGTGTGGGGGAAAGCAAAACCAATTTCTGGATTTGGGCACATAAGGTTTGCTTCAAGGGAAAACCTGTTAGATCAGGCATCGTTTGGAAATCAAGTTCATGTGCCATGGAAATCCTGTTCATGTCGTCCTGTTCATGTGGAGAATTTTAGCCTTTTGGATTGTCTTTACTTCCTGTTGATTCCTGCCTGGTTAAACACTGCTTTGGAACTGCTTTTATATCTTGTGTGGGCATTGCTTTGTGTTTCTGCATTTTACTGGCTTATTACTTTTTGAAACCTTCTTATATCCTTACAAGCATTTATTTTTACTCGCTATTTACTAAGCTTCAATAAAAGAGGATTTGTTTCTTCACTCATTGTGTGGTATGTTTTAAAGTCAGAGGGCTTTTTCCTGTCCTGGAGTGCAACAATGACACATAAAACAACATATTAAACCATAGAACTTCAATTTAGGGATTTCATCCCAATCCACCACAGATCTTACTAGTATTGAAGGATCAATCAGTCCTCTTCTTTGCAAATTCAATAATTTATTAGAACTCTGACTGCTGCTTGGAGGGACAGATCTCTCCCTTATCCTCATTGGGACTTTCTGATGCTGACCAGAATTCTAGGAAATGTAGTTTAGGGCAGAGCCTTTTGAATTCTCTGCCATAAGGCTCCTTGCATTTCCCAGACTTCTGTGCTTTCTGTCTCTTTCTGAGCTCACTCAACTTGTCCCACCCAACTGCTTTCCTCATGATGATTTCTTTTTAATTTAAAGAGGAATGGGGCCTCTTTGGCTTTGTCTCACTTGCTCTGAGCTGAAAATGAAATTGACATTGGGAAGTTTCTGAGGATTAAAGAATTTAAACAAAAATATTAGATGAGTGTTCCAATTTCTAAGTTTCTGTGTGGGCACCCCCTTTGTTTCTTAATGTTTGTTCATATATACAAATCTTAGGAATGAAATACAGTTAATGATTTAAATATCAAGTTTTGCACACTCCTAATATACACATATGTCTACATTAACAATATACCAAACTGAACAATTGAACAAATATGACAATGTGTAATTTAGAAATCAAATAGATATTTGGAAATAGGTTGCTAAAAAGGTGATATCTGTTTTTATTTCATTTTAAGAAGTATGTTTTCTAATCAAGATTTCTTCAAAATAGTGAAGTCAGTATTCAGTAGCCTTTATTTCAATCAACAACCCTTCAGCTGAAGTAAAATAAGTACAGAATAGTAAAATAAAGCATTTAAATAATTTATAACATCAAATCTGGCTTATAATTTAATGATAATTAATATCTCCATTCTCTGAGTGACTATCCTTATATTCTAAGACTGTCACAGATTAGAATTTAGGCACTTCTTGTTACACTCTGTTGCACCCCAGACCAGGATACACCTCTGTACTTAACCACCTCATGCCAGTCCAGGTTAAATCAGCAAAGCAGTTTATTAAATCTCTCTATATATAAATGCTCTGTGCATAATGAGGACCCTAAAAACAAAAAACTACGGGGCCAAATGACCCCAAATTTGGCAACAAAACTCCTCACAATCCAAGGAGTGACCATCACTGAAAAAAACCCCACAAAAACACCTTTAAATTCAAAAAAGTAAGAAGACAACACACCTCCCCTATCCCCGCTCATGCTGAGGACACAGAATGAGGGTTCTGAAACAACTGCACTGCTCCTTGCATGTCTCTCGCCCCCTAACTAACACTAAGGCAATGGATTAAAGGGCAGGGGCTGAGGAGAAGGAGAGGGGGAGGAGAGGGAGAAGGGGGGAAGGAAAAAAGAGGGAGGCGGGCCACATTCTGAGCACACATTCCGACTCTGTCCCCCACACACACACTCCCACAGCACAAGGGAAGGAAGAAGGTGTCATGATGGGGGTAATAGGGACACATGAAACTGACATTGCTTGGAAAGTAGCCCCAAAGAACATCCAGCCCAACCTCATTTGGTAGTAAAGGAAGACACCATCAAAGCCTTCACAACAGATGGCCAACCGGCTGGAAGGGAGCCCTAAAGGCCATCCAGACCAACCCCTCCTTCCCTCCCTCCTTCCTTCCTTTCCTCCCTTTCTTTACTTCCCTTACTTCTCCTTCCTTTACTTCTCTCCCTTCCCTCCTTCCTCCCCTCCTTTCCTTTTCTCCTTCATTCCTCCCTCCCTCTCTTTCTTCCCTTCACTCCCTTTCCTTTCCTCCATTCCCTTCCTCTCTTCCTTTCGACCTTTTTCTCCTCCCCTCACCAGCTTCATCCTCCTTTATTAAATCCACAGTGTAGATGCACCCAAAGTCACCCCTTCCACACTGCCATGTAAAATCTAGATTATCTACTTAGGACTGGATTATATCGCAGTGTAGATACATGCGCACGTGCACACACACACATATGAATGGATGTTGGATCACTGATGTGTGTGTGTGTGCGTATAATACTTTATATATTACTATTTATTATATATTATTATTTCTAGGTGCAAATATTACTGCAGATGCAGACTGTGGCCAGGAAATCAGAAGATGCTTACTTCTTGGGAGGAGAGCAATGTCCAATCTCGATAAAATAGTAAAGAGTAGAGACATCACACTGGCAACAAAGACCCGCATAGTCAAAGCCATGGTATTCCCTGTAGTAACCTACGGATGTGAGAGCTGGACCTTAGGGAAGGCTGAGCGAAGGAAGATAGATGCTTTTGAACTGTGGTGTTGGAGGAAAGTTCTGAGAGTGCCTTGGACTGCGAGAAGATCCAACCAGTCCATCCTCCAGGAAATAAAGCCCGACTGCTCATTGGAGGGAAGGATTCTAGAGACAAAGTTGAAGTCCTTTGGCCACATCATGAGGAGACAGCAAAGCCTAGAGAAGACAATTATGCTGGGGAAAGTGGAAGGTAAAGGAAGAGGGGCCGACCAAGGGCAAGATGGATGGATGGCATCCTTGAAGTGACTGGACTGACCTTGAAGGAGCTGGGGGTGGTGACGGCCGACAGGGAGCTCTGGCGTGGGCTGGTCCATGAGGTCACAAAGAGTCAGAGATTACTGAACGAATGAACAACAACATTACTATTATATATATTGCTATATAATACATATATATTATATTATATATATTATTGTTATATATACTACTATATAATATAATGTTACTACTATATATTACTATATTAAATAGACTCATAGAATAGACTTAGAAGGGGAGAGCAGGCAAACAGAAAATAATGGAAGGGTTTGGTGGGCATTGGGAAGGAAGGAGGGAAGGAAGGAAGGAAGGAAAGAAAGAAAGAGGTACCAAAGGAAGGAAGAAGAGAATGTAGAAAGGAAAGGAAAGGGGAAGGAAAAGCAGGAAAGAGGTAAAGAAGGAAGGAGAAATAAAAAGTGAAAGAAGGAAGGAAACAGGGAGGGAAGAAAGGAGACAAAGGAAGAAGTAGAGAAAGGGGGAAGGAAAGAGAGAAGGAAGGATGAAACCAAAGAGTGAAAGAAGGAATGAAAGAAAGAGGTAGAGAAGGAAGAAAGGAGAGAAAGGGGGAAGAAAAGGGGGAAGGAATAGGTAGGTACCTCTCTTTCATAATAGTCCAGATATCTACCTCTACTTCGAAAATTCTTACTATAGGCCACAGCAACGCGTGGCAGGGCACAGCTAGTATTATATAAAAAAGCAAAACTACAACACATTCTCATCAAATACAAGTTGCAAATTGTTCATGAAGTACTTGCAGCTTTTTGCTGCTGCAAAAAGAAATTTGGCCATCTTCTTCATCGCACTTCTGTCAAAATCAGACAGTTCATAACTAAGGTACCAGTTTAAGGATCTTCCTGGCCTCTTAATGAGTAAAGAGGATATTAACCTCAGTCTGTCGAAACTATAATGCATGTGCTTTTCAACTGTACAGTCTATAAAGAAATTAGTTAATTTAATCATTGAACAAATGGTGGCAGGAGGGTAGGATAGGTGTTGATAGGCAATCTTCATTGACATATTGCTCACAGTAACCTGTCTACCCTGTCTAGCACAGGTACACCCCAAGTAACACCATACTGCAGATCTATATGTATGTCAGCTATTTTTTTTTACAAAGAGAGATCTAATAGCCAATTAATACAACAGATTTTTTTGCAGGACATGGAGGAAACTGTGGTCTAGAATATACAATCAGAGTACGTAGAATCAATCTCTATCAGGTAGAATTGGCAAACTGCTGAAATACCAAAAGAAAACCAGGAAAAAACTCCCATAAAGATGATCATAAAAGTTTGACAGATAGTGTATCCACACTATAGAATGAAGGCAGTTTGACATCCCTTTAAATGCCATGGCTCAATGCTGTAATTAATGGGAATTGTAGTTTGAGGCACCCACACTATTTGGCAGAGAAGCCTAAAGATCTTATAAAACCACATTTACTATTATTCCATAGCATTGAGCCATGGCAGTAAAAGTGATGCTGAATTGCTATAATTCAAAAATGTAACTACACCGTAGGAAAATAAGTACAGTAATACAGTGGGAAACATGGGAAATACAAAAGAGAGACCAATACACTTTACAATGTAATAATATATAGCAATTACAAAAAACATGGGGAAGTAAACAGTAATTATTTTAACAGTAAAGAGATAATAAACCAGTATGCAAAACAAAATGAAAACAGATGACAGATAGTGCAAAATGATAAAGTATAACAGCTTGGAAGGGCATATGCAGCTGAATAACACTAGATAGTAGGGATGTGTCTGATACCATTTTGCGATAATGTTTTCAGGAGATTCTGGCAATCCAGCAGTCGACTCAATCCAGCAGCTGACCAGAACAGGCTGGGGGGGGGGGGGGMAAGTTGAATGTCAGCAGTAAAGGACATCTGAATCGGCTGCCATGTGAGAAGAGCAGCTGTGTGTGTACAGGGTTTTTTTCCGTTAGCCTTGCCAGAGCCAATCAGAAGAAGAAAACAGATCACATTTCTTTTTGAAAAGCTGGTCTATATATACCAAAGCAAGCTTCGCCATTTTTCTGTGGCATCTTAGGTGATATCTTTCTTATTGTCCTTCTGTTATTTTACAAATTTTGCTAGGAAGGAATGGGTAAGCATGTGGTTTTTTTGGGGGGGTGGGGCTGTGAGTTTAAAAAGGGCTTTTGTGTGTTTGTTTAAATATTTTTTACCTTTTTGCTTTAACTTGTCTGAATGTGAGAAAGGTTTGGGGAATAGCCTACCCCACTGAGTCCTAACCGGGAGAATTTCCCCATCCCAATCTTCTGACTTCTGTAATCGGTCCTTCACCAGCAGCCTAAGTTCTTCCACACTACCAAAAATAAATAAATAAATAGACCTTTCTTCTTCTAGTTCAACTCTTTAACTCTCTGTCTCTGCTTTCCCTCCCCAGACTCTCCAGTTCCCCCATTCTCGCTAATGGTGATAGAGATAGACAGACAGGCAGACAGACAGAGGGATTTATAAATTTTATATATCTCGTCGTATTACTTATTGATTGCTTTACACTGTGTTTTAAAAAAATAATTTGTTTGGAGTTTGTTTCTCTGGTTCTGTTTTGGCCTTTTGTTTGTTTGGAATTGACAAACTATTATTAATTATTACATAAACATACAGAAGGGAGAATCATTTTATGCGATGAGTAAACTATTCCTGATTATTGTTGTGCCAATTTAGATTTTTTTTTTTGCTGCTGCTGCTTTATGACTCTCAAATATTATTGGACCTCAGATCCCATGATCCCTCACTGTTGGTTATACTGGGGACTCTCATGTGGAGATCCAGGCATTTCCTATTACTGTTTTCTGACACTGCCAAAGTAAGTACAGTGAACTTTTGTGCTAAAACCTGATTTTAACTGAATGATTCAGAGCAATGTATGGAAAGGTCCTTAGACTAAGATGAGATAATGTTTAGCAGCATTTGGAAGAAGTTTTCAATTTTATTACAGTATGATTTCTCTCACAATAAACTGCATTTTGATCTTAAAAATTGTGTGTCATACTGGAAAAAATGAAACTGTACAAGGTAATGGTGTGTCCATACAGATCCAACACAGTCCTTTTGATAATCTGTAGGCCAATTTCTTTCTCTCTTTCAGCTACTCCTTTGAAAAGCACATTTGCAAGCTTCAGTTCATTCATTCAGCACAATGCTTTTTATCATCTAGATTCTACATTGCACTGAGAACCAAATCATTTCTGTCAAATCTAGCTCCTTTTTTGGGTTCATAATAAGTTAATTTAGTGCAAAGTAAAATGGTAATTGAAATCAGTTTAAATAATTGTTGCAGTGCATTTAAGTAAAAGAAAATATGTTTCACTATGATGGGGGGAAAGCAATTTTATTTTAGAGAATATATAACAATTAACCATAATAGACCCTCATTTTATTAAATGGTTTTCCCTTGAGATGACGCATTAGACTCTGACAGTTTGTCAGAATAGTCAAGATTGTGAGGGAAATGAGAGTTCAACCTTGATCCCCTCAGTTGAGTCCTTTATGGACTATATCACATTTGACACTCAGTTCTAAGAGAGACCAAAGGGTCAAGCTTGAGGAGATATTATTGCCTGGGACGTATTGGAAGGAGAACTTTTAATTTGTGGGAAAATGCCTTCTCACTTGCTAAATATGCAATAGAAGCCCACTTCCTCAAGAATAGCACAAATGTTGAGATTTACCCAAGGACTGCCCCAAATTGGAAGGCACATCCATGAAAGTGCATGAGGGAGACATTACTATCCAAGAAATAACAGAAGAGTTTAAAATGAATAAGCCCAGTTCATGCATTTGACATTTGTAATTTCTTTTGTCCTTCCATGAATTTAAAATTAAAGCCTACATCAATTTAAGCATTTATCTATTATTAAGAACTTAATGGATCTGTGGTTTTCTGTGGTTTGATAATGCTTGACGAACTATTCTCAGCAGAAGGTGTGTTATTTAACAACTCCTAGTTATTGAAGATTTAGTGATGAAAGTCACCTGAAGTAGGGTAACTGGCATGAATTTGAAACAACTTCTTCCCATACTGTCTTGACCATGCTTTTGGAAAACAAAACCTTATTTTGCATTATGGAATGGTCTTGGTTTATAAGAACGTGCACCTTGATTTTTCAAAGGATCATCCAGTAATATCTTTTGTTAAAGCCCCCACTTTAGGTCTCAATCAAGAGAAAAAAGCAGCCTGCTCTTCTCTCTTGATTGAGACCTAGGACCTCATCACATGTTCAGAAACAGGTAAATCAAGTTTCCTAGGTAGCCTTCATTTGACATCAGTGCCCACAAGAAAACATGCTTTTCCTAGTTAGGCTCACTAAAGGCAGCGGTCAGGAAGTTTTTTCATAAAGCATTATTTTTTACAAAATAAAAAAATAAATTTTCTGCTACTTGCTCAGAATCAAAGAAATGAACTTGTGTATAATATAAAAAGAGTGCTTTGATGTGAGAAGAAACACCTTATTTCCTGTTTAAAACCATGGCCACATCTTTAGAAATAATCTGTTCACGCTCCCCTTTATTGTCCCTCATTATGTATCTTCAGCACTGTTAGTTGGACTTTATCTGTAAAATGAAATTGATCTTATTTTGATGTAACCTTTTGTGTTTGCAGTTATTTGCTGTAAATATAAAAATCTCCCTTTTCCTCTCGTTTATTTTCCCTTTGGGCTTTGCCAGGCCCATTAAACACTTCATGAAAAGAAAGAACAGCAACTTGCAAACACATTTCAAAAGCTGTGTGATGCCAATCAACTCTGTATTTATCTTTTCTGTTCCTGTGTATTGTTCTATTGTTCATGCTCATTGCAACCTTCATCATTACAGTACAATGTTTTGAATGAACCAGGAAATTAAATTAATCTATAAATTCTCATAGGCTAATTTGAAAAGGTAATTTGAAAAGACCCATCCTCAGAAACACAGCTAGTTTCTAATTTGCACTCAAATTGTTCAGTTTTCATTCTCTGTATCACTCTCTCCCTCTCTGAAGACTTATTTGCATCTTTAGCAAATGTTTCCAGATGGAGTCATCTTAAAATTTGAACCCGCCACGCTGTCAGGTCAGCAGTTTAGGGACTAAGGACATTGTCTACTGACCTATTTTCCACATAGTCATAGAAACTGGGGAAGTTATTTCACTAAATTAGATGAAGCCAGTAGACCTTATATCCATGTAAGCATATGTACTGTAAAGCTGCAGCCCTGTTTCTATTATTATTATTATTATTATTATTATTATTATTATTATTATTATTTGAAACACAATAAGATGAGTCCATAGCAGACACTCTGCTGGCTGTTGAACTGGATCACACATCGGACACTTCCCAAGTGTGCAGATCCCAGTAAGGTGAATAATGTGTGCAGATCCCAGTAAGGTGGGCTTCTGCAGCTGACAGATGGTGATTTTGTCAGTGCCGATTGTGTTTAAGTACAGGCCAAGGTCTTTAGGCACTGCACCTAGTGTGCTGATCACCACTGGGACCACCTTTACTGGTTTGTGCCAGAGTCTTTGCAATTTGATTTTAAAATCCTCATATCGTGTCACCTTTTGCAGTTGTTTCTCTGCAATCCTGCTGTCACCTGGGATTGCGACATCGACGATCCATACTTTGTTTTTTAACACAATTGTGAGGTCAGGAGTATTATGCTCCAAAACTCTTGTCTGTCTGAATCCGGAAGTCCCATAGGAGTTTGGCGTCTTCATTCTCTGTAATTTTTTCCGGCTTGTGATCCCACCAGTTCTTTATCGCAGGCAGATGGTATTTGTGGAACAAGTTCCAATGAATCATCTGAGCAATGGTGTTGTGCCTCTGCTTGTTGTGCAACGGTGTTGTGCCTCTGCAACGGTGTCTGCATGATCTTCTTGCAGCAGCTGAGGATGTGATCTATTGTTTCATCTGCATCCTTGCAGAGTCTACATTTGGAATCTGTTGTCGACTTTTCAATTCTGGCTCTGATGGCATTGGTTCGAATGGCTTGTTCTTGGGCTGCCAGAATCAGGCCCTCCATCTCCTTTTTCAGAGTTCCATTTGTGAGCCACAGCCATGTTTTTTCTTTGTGAATTTGGCTCTCAATTTTTCCCAGGAACTGTCCATGGAGAGCCTTCTTTTGCCAGTTTTCTCTTCTGCTCTGCATTGTGTTTTTACAGTATCCACTCTTTGTCTTTTGCACCTGAAGCAGTTTACTACTATTGACTTCCCTCAATGTTGGTTCTTGACTGCCTTTCACATAATCTGCCAATGCTTGTTTGTCTTCTTCTACCATTTGTTTCACTTACAGAAGCCCTCTGCCTCCTGATTTTCTGGGCAGGTAAAGTCTGTCAACATCACTAAGCGGGTGTAATGCGTAGTGGATTGTCATCAGCTTTCCTGTTTTTCTGTCCAGATCATCCAGCTCTGCTTGTGTCCAGTTGACAATCCCAGCAGTGATCTAATGACGGGAATGGCCCAGGTGTTGAGAGCCTTGATCGTATTTCTGCCATTTGATTTGCTCTTCAAAACTTTCTGACTCTTTGGATATATTCTTTGCTGACCACATTTTTCACCTGCCCATGTTTGATATTGCCCAATTGTATTTATAGGCTTCAGGCTGATTGCACTTTATGGTTTGTCTGTTTGGCATCTCGATGCCCTCGCTTTGTGTAATTTTCCCTTTCTTTAGTGCCACTGTGGCACATTTGTCTAGGCCAAACTCTATACTGATGTCAGTGCTGAAGATTCTGACTGTGTTCGTCAGTGACTCGATTTCAGTTTCTGATTAGCTTTAGATCATCCATCTAAAACATTAAACATAATTAGTATTAAACACAATTCAGATTAAATCCATAAAAACATATAAAACCAAAGCAGCCCCTGACATGATCTTAAACACCTTTATCTTTAAAAGCCAATCAGAATAATAGCCTGCCTAAATCTTTGTCAGCAAACCCGGAGAGCAAAACACAACTTATTTCTGAGTAAATAGGATCACTATGTGAATCCCTAAAAGTCACTGCAGGATTTGGACCCTAATGTTTAGTTTTTCTCTGTTAAATTGAATGTTCATATCCAGATGTTGGCCAGGTTCTCTGACAAAGGGTGCTTCTACACTTTAGAATTAATGCAGATTAACACCAATTAAATTAACATGATTTAATGGCGTAGAATTCTAGAATTTGTAGTTTACAAGGTATTAGCTTTCTTTGCCAAGAGTGCTGATGCCTCACCAAACAGCAACGCCAAGGATTCCATAGCTTTGACCCATGGCATTTAAAGAGGTTTCAAACTGCATTAATGCTATAGTGTAGAAACATCAAAAATCTCAGAGGGTTGGATCCACAATGGAATGGTTTCTTTCATTCATTGACAACACTACAATCCCATATTGGAAGAATGGGGCAAGAAGCTCTAGGTCCTCTGGTGTGACTCTATGGTCATCTTCCTTCGATCATGCTAGAGACAACACGCAGTATGTCTCCAAAACCCCCAAATACATTTCCAGTAAAGTTCTCCATGGAAGGAAACATGGGTGTGGGAATGGAATGGGGAGAATGCAATTTTATGGCATATAAGCCTAACTTTTGAATGGTTTTACCAGAGATTTTGCATCTTAGGAATTCAGGGAGGCAGTACAAGAAAGAGTTTGTAGGATGTGAAAGAATATAGCATGAGAGTTGCATGGAAAATTCTGAATGCCCAAGTGCTTCTGTTTTTATCCCTGTATGCTGCACATTGTTCATCCATCCCTGTTCTATTATACGTTCTATGACTTTGGTGCCAGCGAAGAAGAAAATAAATGAATTCTTCAGCTTTTTCTCATTTATTAAAGCTCCTT